ACAGCATGTATCCTGGAAACATGATAACAAATCTATACCGCTGAAGGCTCTTGGCATTGATGTGTCTCTTGTGTGAGTCCTCGCTGCAGGGCGTATATTTTACACACATTTTTCTTCCATTTACAGAGTGAACACATTTTTTTATGACTCTTCAGAGAGGAAGATGGTAAATGAGCATTCCCAGTTGATGTTAGCAGGGATGAAGCACAGTTTAGCAGTGAAGAGGACAAGTTGCTAGAAACCCAGCAACATAACAAATAGTGGCAACATACAGGATGCTAGGAAACACACACCAGGGCACTGAAAACAAGCATTTAAATGTGAAGCAAATAATCAAACAATGAAATATAACTCACTATCTTGTTTTGAGGAGGGTCATGATGGTTTGGTTTGATTAAGTGTTGATGTAAAGTTTGCTGAAATATGCTTACACTCTTTTACACATTCATTCCTAAAGGCCAGTGATACAAATATGGCTCCTGATAGGGTGCTGGGTGGTCCCCCAAAACCATGTGCTAATTCAGTCTGAGTGCACTGGCTAAACTGGGAACGAAAGCTTTAATGTGCCTGGCACCCCTCACTCAGAACAGCCATTAAAAAGACTTGAAACTAAGAGAATTGTTCTCTCTGCCTGATTGTACAGCATTTATACAGTCGCCACTTTATTAGGAACATCTTGCTAGTACCAGGTTGGACCCCTTTTGCATTCAGAACTGCCTTAATTCTTTGTGTCATAGGTTCAACAAGGTGCTGGAAACATTCCTCAGAGATTTTGGTCCATATTAACATGATAGCATCACACAGTTGCCCATGATACGATTCTCCCGTTTCACCACATCCCAAAGGTGCTCTATTGGATTCAGATCTGGTGACTGTGGAGGCCATTGGAGTGCAGTGAACACATTGTCATGTTCAAGAAACCAGTTTGAGATGATTTGAGCTTTATGACATGGTGCGTTATCCTGCTGGAAGTAGCCATCAGAAGATGGGTACACTGTGGTCATAAAGGGATGGACACGGTCAGCAACAATACTCAGGTAGGCTGTGGTGTTTAAACCATGCTCAGTTGGTACTAAGGGGCCCAAAGTGTGCCAAGAAAATATCCCCCACACCATTACACCACCACCAGCAGCCTGAACCGTTGATACAAGGCAGGATGGATCCATGCTTTCATGTTGTTTACAGCAAATTCTGACCCTACCATCTGAATGTGGCAGCAGAAATCCAGACTCATCAGACCAGGCAACGTTTTTCCAATCTTCTATTGTCCAGTTTTGGTGAGCCTGTGTGAACTGTAGCCTCAGTCTCCTGTTGTTAGCTGACAGGAGTGGCACCTGGTGTGGTCTTCTGCTGCTGTAGCCCATCTGCTTCAAGGTTTGATGTGTTGTTCATTCAGAGATGGTCTTCTGCAGACCTTGGTTGTAACTTGGTTGTAATTATTTGAGTTGCTGTTGCCTTTCTATCATCTTGAACCAGTCTGGCCATTCTCCTCTGACCTCTGGCATCAACAAGGCATTTTCTCACTGGATATTTTCTCTTTTTCAGACCATCCTCTGTAAACCCTAGAGATGGTTGTGTGTGAAAATCCCAGTAGATCAGCAGTTTCTGAAATATTCAGACCAGCCCGTCTGGCACCAACAACCATGCCATGTTCTTGTTTTCACTTTCTTCCTCATTCTGATGCTGAGTTTGAACTTCAGCAGGTCTTCTTGACCATGTCTAATTGCTGCCATGTGATTAGCTAATTAGTTATTTGCGCTGACAAGCAGTTAAATAGGTGTACCTAATAAAGTGGCCAGTGAGTGTAAGCATTATGGTGAATGAACTGGTTGGTGCTTGTCACTGTGTGTAGGTATTTTACTTTTTTTTGACACATGAATGTGTATCTTTGTTGTTTATTTTTGTGGTTATTGGTGTTTATACTTTTTATGTTGCTGCCTTGTTCATGTCTTCCTTGTTCATGTGTGTGACTTGCCTGGTTGAATATGGGTTGAATAAATAACTAAAAAAATCCTCTTGTGTACTATTATGTGCATTTAAACCAGTGGGATTATACATAATGTGCAGTGGAAGAGTTTTATTTCGGATAAATGGGTAATAAAAAGTAAATAATGTGGCACTGTCATCTGCTGCTGTGTGGGATTCATGTTTCATGGAGCAATGCTGTGGATTTAGACGCCCTCTACTGGTTGTACAGTCTAATTGCAGAAATCATCATACAAATGCATATAGTCTAATCAAATCATTACAGATATCTAACACTTGGCACCAAGTGTGTCACAAAAACAAAATAATAAGTGAAGTACTGGCCTCTGCATGCACTCAGTCAGCTGTAACAATAATTACTCTACCAACTCTGACGCTGAGATATGATTTCTTCCTCCTTTCAGCCCTGTCTTCCTCCTCATCAATGTGCCTAATGAGATCCCATGAGACGCTTCAAGGGTACGTCAGTCTAGTGGTCCTCAGGGTTGGACATGAGAGCTTTGCCTGTAGGTTACAGGATACTGTCCCCAGCATGACCACACATTAACCTTTTTACGTATTCTAATTGCTCTAAGGAGTGGTCTGGCTTCCTGCCTTAGACATTATAATCTGCCACTTTGCAATCTATGGACTAATTAGCACATGCTGCTTATGAAATGAGCGGGAACTCCAGTGGCATCGTGACATTATCACTGAAACTCACACTGAAATATTGAAGTGATCGAAACATCTTCTAAAGTCATGAATATGAAACACACACGAGGTGTTATGATGGTGAAGTTTGTTCTTTCATAACTCATATATCTTATTATGTTTTAATATATCTTATATTTCACATTTTTCTCCTTATACTTTAAGTGCTTTTATGGACAACATCCAATTTTAGTTTGGCAGACTTTGACATATTTACTTTTACATGATGAGTTGACTTGTTCAGGTGATTTTCAGTTCCTGTTTTTTATTCAATATTCCAGTACTCTTCTAAATTAGCTAAGCTTTGTTTATCAAAAATGTATTACAGTAATGTCTGTATTGATTTAAAGTCCATCTTGAGTTCTTAAAAATCCAGTGTGTAAGATTTAGGTGGATACACTGGCAGAAATTGATTTTTTTGTTTATTATTATTATTGGTGAAACATTGTGACAATGTTGTGGCACATATACATATAAGGGGAATGCGGCAAATGTAACTGAAAGACAGATAGACAATAACATAAAGCAACTGTGATGATGTACACTCACCGGCCAGTTTATTAGGTACACCGTTTCAACTGCTAATTAACACAAAAAGCTAATCAGCCAATCACATGGCAGCAACTCAATACATTTAGGCATGTAGACATGGTCAAGACAACCTGCTGAAGTTCAAACTGAGCAACAGAATGAAGAAGAAAGGTGATTTAAGTGACTGAACGTGGCATGGTTGTTGGTGCCAGATGGGCTGGCCTGTCAGAAACTGCTGATCTACTGGGATTTTCACACACAACCATCTCTAGGGTTTACAGAGGATGGTCTGAAAAAGAGAAAATATCCAGTGAGCGGCAGTTCTCTGAGTGAAAAGGATGCCAGAGGTCAAAGGAGAATGGTCAGACTGGTTCAAGATGATAGAAAGACAACAGTAACTCAAATTGTTGCAACCAACCTTGAAGCAGATGGGCTACAGCAGCAGAAGACCACACCAGGTGCCACTCCTGTCAGCTAACAACAGGAAACTGAGGCTACAGTTCACACAGGCTCACCAAAACTGGACAATAGAAGATTGGAAAAACGTTGCCTGGTCTGATGAGTCTGGATTTCTGCTGCCACATTCAGATGGTAGGGTCAGAATTTGCTGTAAACAACATGAAAGCATGGATCCATCCTGCCTTGTATCAACGGTTCAGGCTGCTGGTGGTGGTGTAATGGTGTGGGGGATATTTTCTTGGCACACTTTGGGCCCCTTCGTACCAACTGAGCATGGTTTAAACACCACAGCCTACCTGAGTATTGTTGCTGACCGTGTCCATCCCTTTATGACCACAGTGTTCCCATCTTCTGATGGCTACTTCCAGCAGGATAACGCACCATGTCACAAAGCTCACATCACATGACAATGAGTTCACTGTACTCCAATGGCCTCCACAGTCACCAGATCTCAGTCCTATAGAGCACCTTTGGGATGTGGTGGAACGGGAGATTCACATCATGGGCAACTGTGTGATGCTATCATGTCAATATGGACCAAAATCTCTGAGGAATGTTTCCAGCACCTTGTTGAACCTATGCCACGAGAATTAAGAAAGTTCTAAAGACAAAAGTCAGAATGTGTAGGTGTGGGGGTCACTCCCTAACCGCCCCTCTGGCAATGTGTGGGCTAGTGGAGCTGAGCAGCTCAGGAGAAACAGTAACGTGAAACTGCTTTAGTCAGTGTTTTTTATTGGTTTTAATCACTTGGGTCTCATTTATAAACATTGTGCCACTTCCCACACAAAAGCTGTGATCTTTAAAAACAGACTTGATGGGAGAAACTTTGACTCATGCTTAAATACATTTTGGAGACAGGATATGGCGATGCAGGTGGTGAGGTGAAATCCTGATTGTAGAAACTTGAATATTTTTTGGTGCACGCCATTTTTGCACGCCATACGTCCATTTTCAGTATGGATCCTACACATTGTTTTATAAATGAGACCCCTGGTTTGTTCGGACAATTCAGCTCCCTGTAAAAACCTCCTGAAGAACAAACACTGAAGGAATCCTCACCAGGAGTTGACGCTTGGCACATGGGAGAAGTTTCAGCTGGTTGCAATCTTCAATCCTCACCACTAGATGTCACTAAATCCTACACACTGCTCTTTTAAAAAGCACTTTTATGTTGAAACTGCATTATAAAGCCTGCAGGACACAAATCATAAATACAGTCAATACTTCTGTCTCCTTCAGGTATCTTGAAAGTGCTAAACTTTCAAAAGAAAAAGACAAACTTCAAGGACGTGTAGTGCTTCTTCTATGAAATTAACATTCGATACAGCACACAGGATGTCAATGTTTTATTACAGATTTTTTTTATAATTCTGCAGCGCTCATTGAGCTTGTATAAAAGCCTTTATCCCAAAACACATAAACATTTGATAAATAAATAGAAAAAAAATAGATCAACATTCACAAGACATTATTCCCAGTTACCCGCACATTCATCGGTGCCTGTCTGCATTATGAATCCATAGTGGAAAAATCACAAAAGCATTTCAAGTTGTTCTTTATACACGACATAGTGGCATAAGCCTCCCCACAGATTTATCATAAACACAGGAAAGTTGATTTAGGGAGAAGTAATTTCCAATTTTCTGGAGCATAATTATTCTCCTGTGAGCTAGGTGTTTACTGTTTAGAAAATTATTAGTTTAATCATTAGTTTTAACTCTCTCCTGCGTTTCTCCTTGTTTGCTTCATCGCTAAAGGGTGTGAGCAAAAGCTCGTGCGTCACCTCTGGTATTTTATCTTCATTACTTATGTATGAATATATGTGTTAACTCAGGAGTCATTAATGCATACAAATGCGGAGACCCGGAGAGAATTTAAATCTGGTTCAACAGAAAGCCATTTAAAGCAGCAACTTGTGGCGTGTTACGAATCCCACTTTAGAAATTGAGCCTGTAGCGACGACATGTTGCATCCTTCCCCTGATACAAAGTAAAACTTCCAGCAGACCTTAAATAAGCTCGTGCCACATGGAGAAGAACGATTCAAAAGTGAGGAGGAAAAAGTGAAAAGGTGCTCTAGTATTGCTCTACATAGAAAATGTCCCTCTCGGCTTCCCTGCCGTGTTTCCCTCAGACCTTTATGAAACAATCACCTGGAAAAAGATTCTCAGGATCAACAGAACGTCCCATGTGCTGTTCTGCTGATCAGCGAACTGTAGCACACACACACACACATTATCAGATATCCTGTAGGTTTCTTTAGCAAGTAACAATATGGCGTTCATACGAGGATATCATTTTCACAGATTTTTTTTTTTTTGCTTCATTCAGTGTTACAGTTTTCAGATCCAGTTTTACTGGAGCAACACTGTGATATGACACATTCCAGCCCACTCTGCTCCGTGCATCAAAAACGCACCGTGGGCACTGACAAGACCTCTCTGTCACTTAAAGTTGGTGGCAGGTGAACAAACAAGAAGTGCATGTGACCGACACTGAAAAGAGGGCTTGTCTACACACACACACAGACACACACACATGCACACTCCTTCAGCCCAGGACACACAATGTCCATTCATTGTTTTCTCATGAACTGAAAGTGTTTGTTCAGCTCACAGGAGTTCAGCTTCGTCCTCGTCATCCTCAGAGCCTGAGGGTCCCTGACGAACTTCTTCGTACCACTTGTTGGTCAGCGTCTTCATCTGGATCCGGCCATGTAACAAGTCCTGTGAGACACACGTTACACACACAAATCAGCACATGCATGAATACTAGGGGTGTGCCCTATCATCTTGTTCACGATAATAACGGTATCATTTTTAGTATGATCTGAAAAATTCATATCGTGATACTCACGATATTTCAACTTGTTGACATTGACGTCATACTGTTACCCATGGCAACAACAAGCATGGCTGAAAGCAGAATTATTACGGACTCCGCAGTGGTTCCAAAAAGAGGAGCAGCTTTAGTAGTGTGGTTAAAACTGTGGCGTCCTGAATGTTTCATGAACAGCCCCGGACTTCTCAGACTCTTTCACTGGGTTACCACTCAGAGGGAACTCATTCAGCGGCTCGTCCGGCAGCAGCACAGCGTCTCTCCCTCTCCTCTCTTGCCATGTGCACACGTGAGACGGTGTCGTCAAGGGATTTTGTCATAAAACTTTGGTAATGTAAACCTATGTGATGCACATGGCTCAACAAAAAACTACATATGTGTGATTGTGCGATAATTGTGGTATCATGACAGCCTGTCACAGGTTACAGCGTGATGATTAGAGGAGAAATGGCAGAGCATAAAGGTCCAGGTGGAAACAAAACAACTCAGTCAGTTAGGTTTTTGCTAAAAGAAGGAAATCACCTGTTGATTTATATTTTTTTTTAGGCCCCAGGGCCTAATGGAGTCCCCTACCGGGTTTATAAAAGTGCGCCTGATACCCTTAAATTTTTGTGGAAACAGCTAAGAATAGTTTGGGAAAAACAAATTATACCAAGAGCATGGCGTAGGGCAGGGGGTGTCCTCATTCCTAAGGAGAAGGAGTCTGTGGACCTTAGCCAGTTCCGGATGATTTCTCTCTTGAATGTGGAGGGGAAGATTTTCTTTAGTGTAGTAGCGCAGAGACTAGCTAGCTACTTAGAAAGGAATAGCTTAATAGATACCATGGTGCAGAAGGCAGGAATACCAGGTTTTTCAGGGTGTTTAGAGCATACTAGCATGATCTGGCACCAGATTCAGGCAGCGAAGATTAACAAAAGGGACCTACATGTAATATTTTTAGATCTTGCAAATGCGTTTGGTTCAGTACCGCACAGCCTCATTTGGAGTGCGTTTGACTACTTCAGAGTGCCACAGGTAGTTGTTAACTTAGTGAAAGCATATTTTCAGGATATTAGGTTGTGTCTAAGTACAGCAGGTTTCACAACAGGTTGGCAGAGGCTAGAAATAGGCATCATGGCAGGGTGTACAATTTCTCCATTAGCATTTACTATGGCAATGGAAGTAATCATCAGGGCTTCTAAGTGGGTGGTAGGTGGGGAGAGACGGCAGAATGGGTTGCATCTTCCACCAGTTAGGGCTTACATGGATGACATGACACTGGTGACCACAACAATGCCATGTACAAAGAGGCTACTAGAGAAGGTAAATAAGAACCTCAAGTGGGCCAGCATGAAAATCAAGCCTAGTAAATCTAGAAGCATCTCGATATGTAGAGGGAAGTTAAGTGATAGGAAGTTTGTCATAGATGATGAGGACATCCCAACAATTAGGGAAAAGTCAGTAAAGAGCTTAGGTAGGTGGTACAATGTAGAGTTGAATGATAAGGAACAGGTGGTGAAATTTAGAAAAGATGTGGCTGAAGGATTGGATAGAATAGATAAATCAGAACTTCCAGGAAAGTTGAAGTTGTGGTGTTTGCAATTTGGGCTATATCCTAGGTTAATGTGGCCATTGTCAGTTTATGAAATTCCAATATCTGTTGTGGAGAGAATGGAAAGGTCGGTTAGCTCCTACATTAGGAAGTGGTTGGGCGCTCCTAGGTGCCTAAGTAGTGTTGCATTGTATGGAAAAGGGATACTTCAGCTGCCAGTATCTAGTTTAACAGAGGAATTTAAATGTACCAAGGTCAGGACAGAGCTCTTGTTATCTGGGAGTAAGGACGTGGTAGTTAGGAGTGTGGTTCCAAATCCAACCAAGGGGAGGAAGTGGAACCCAAGATCGGCAGTTCAGGAGGCAGAGGCAGCTCTTAGACATGCAGAGATTGTAGGTAATGTTCAGTTTGGCCGGGGAGGCCTGGGGCTTGGCTCAGGTAAACCGGTATGGAATACAGCAGGCCTCAAAGATAAAAGAAAGCTGGTTGTAGAACAGATACGCAGACAGGAAGAGATAGTAAGGGGTGCAAAGGTAGTGGCCCAGGCTAAACAGGGACAGTGGTTGAATTGGGAAAGTGTAGAGAAGAGGAAGCTTAGTTGGAGGGACCTGTGGAGTATGGAGGAGAATCGTATTAGATTCCTGGTAGGGGCTACATACGATGTGTTACCAACCCCCCAGAACCTAAAACTGTGGGTAAATGAGGACCCATCATGCCCATTGTGTTCACGTACCGCAACTTTAAAGCATATTTTGTCAGGCTGTAAAGTTAGCTTGTCACAAGGCCGATATACATGGCGACATAATCAGGTGTTGAAATGTTTAGCTGCAGGCATCGAAGGGAAACGAAGACAGGTGAATTCAGAAGGTGTTAAGGATAGGGGCTTAGTAATTCAGTTTGTCCGTGAGGGAGAGAAATACAGAAGGGATAAGTTAGTGAGGAGGCAAGGGTGTGGCCGCCTAGAAGGTGCTTGTGATTGGGAAATGCAAGTAGATTTAGGGGGAAAGCTTGTTGTTCCTCAGGAAATAGTCTGTACCAGGCAGAGGCCTGACTTAGTGTTGTGGTCAGTGAGTCAACAGATAGTTTATTTCATTGAGCTGACAGTTCCTTGGGAAGACTCAGTGGAAGAAGCCTATGAAAGAAAAAAGCTTAGATATGCAGACTTAGGAGCAGAAGCTGAGCAGCGAGGATGGAAGACTAGGATTTGTCCAGTGGAAGTGGGGTGTAGGGGATTCATAGCAAGATCAACTGTCTCACTCCTGGGGGAACTCGGAGTGCGGGGACAGAATTTGAGGAAGACAGTGAGGGAAATGTCAGATGAAGCAATTAAATGCAGCCAGTTTATCTATTACAGAAGAAATAATGTCAGCTGGGGGCCAGCAGGGGGAACTACTAAGCAGGGCACATAACTCCTTGAGATCAGGTGGAGAGATCCACTTCCTGTCAGGAGAAATCCAGGAAGAGGAAGTATTTAAGTGTGGGAGTGGCCTATTGGAATCCATTTTGTTTGAGGCCATGCGGCAAGGTGAGTGTGCTTGCTGATCCTGTAAGTCCAGTTAGCTCCTTTAACTTTAGCTTATATTGTAGTTATGCTATGTAGTGTGTGAAATAGAGTATGGTGAATGTGACAGGAAAGCTAGTATCAGCATTGCTTCTGCCTGGAGCTCGCATGTATGGAGCCTGGGTTTGGTTGAAGATGGCAGTGCTGTTTGGGCTGAGAAAGCCATGTGTAAGTAAGAAGGAAATCCAGGAAGAGGAAGGTTATTTAAGTGTGGGAGTGGCCTATTTGAATCCATTTTGTTTGAGACCATGCTGCAAAGTGAGTGTGTTTGCTGATCCTGTGAGTTCATTTATCTCCTTTAACTTTAGCTTACATTGTAGTTATGCTATGTAGCGTGTGAAATAGAGTATGGTGAATGTGCTAGTAAAGGTAGTATCAGCATTGCTTCTGCCTGGAGCTCGCATAAACGGAGCCTGGGCTTGGTTGAAGTTGGCAGTGCTGTTTGGGCTGAGATCACTGTCCAGCCTCCTGGAGGTGTCATTGTTGTGAGGGCTCGTCCTGGGGAGGTAGACTGTACAGCCTAACCCGGCGGGGGAGTGTGATAGCCTAACAAGGCTTCCTTCCCTGGGTCTACCTCCTCTGTGGTAGTATAGGTAAGGTAAAGGAGGTTGTTCGGTTAGTGTGGGGAGCAGTGAGACCTGGCATTAGGGGAGTGTCTCTGGGACGCCAGAGATCACTGTCTAGCCTCCTGGAGGTGTCGTGGGACCAACTAGACGAAACACCGGTGAAAGGAGGTTCCCACCCGATGACCCCAAAGACATGTTAGTTATCACTGCTCACTGGTCTGTATAGTTAAGCCTTGCCATAATAGCTTATCATAGGGCTTAGGAGGTTATTCACTGAGTGCTGATCCTTTTTTTTTTTTGTTTTTTGTTTTTTTTTTTTAGAGCACAAACTTCTTGTGTTTATTTGAATATGTATAGATCCCAGGGGACTTTTTTTGTATTTGGGAGCTGTTTAAATGTGTAATTTGTGGTAGATTTTATGTTGTTGAACTATTGATATTGTATACAGAATCTGAATCTCACTCTGAGTTACTGTTGTTGTTCACAAACTAAAGAAATGAGATCATTTTAGTTTTTACTGCATATTTGAAGGCAAACTGTAAAACTATATGACTTATTTTGTTGCAATTCTATGTTCTTCATAATAAAAAAATATATTTTTACTTATTTGTCATAATGTTAAGAATATCGTTATCGCAAAAATACCCTGAAATATCGAGATATTATTTTAGGGCCATATCGTCCACCCCAAATGTATACATAGACAAAAAGAGTCACATAAACAGACCGAGGTGCACACAAAATAACACATCTTAGAATAAAGTAGCCCTGCAGCAAAATCCAGTCTGGGGAAGCTCAGAATGTTCTGTTTTGTTAATACTGTGAGAGGTTTTGAATTAACATTAATTATTAGGGTTTTTTTTGGGGGGGGGGGGATTAAACATTTTTCCTCTTGCCAAAGGACCTAATTTTGTAATTTATGTAATTACAAAGGCTGCTACACAAGTATGTAATGTCAAACTAATTACCACTGGTATGCACTATGCAGAGATTTGACAATTGCTATTGGTACAGGAGAATTTTTGAAGGTAAAAATAGGACATGAACAGATGTGCCTACTAGATATTGCTAAATATGCAAAACAACACAAAATGTGGGATATTTCCTTAGCTTACAGTAAATTACCATCAGGGACAAAATGTGGCACAATGCTTTAATTGTAAAGAAGTCATAAGAAATGCAATGTGCTTGTCATTAGCAGGGCAACTCTTCGATAGAAACAGGTCTAAACAGGTCTAATCAAACTAGATATGGACGTACCTGTTTTTAATATTCCAGGGTGGAATAGTACAAACAGAATCAGTGAGCTGAAAAAAGGCTGCAGGCAACAGGCTCTTACTGTGATTTGTCACCAGTGCACTTCCAGCATGTCATCACGGTAAACAACTTTACTCTGCCTTGCAGTGCAGCACGGCTCGTCTGTTTGTACCCGCTCACAGCGCGGCTTGATGCGACTGAGATTTGACGTGGATTTTACAGCTGCTTTTCCCAGACGTTACATCTCAGGTGCGGTGTCCTCTGCCTTGGTGGTCAGCCAGTAGAGCTAAATTTGGTGCAGCTATTTTAGATATTGACATTGCGTCCTCACATATTCTGTGCTTCGAAAATGGAAGTAACAGCAAAGTCTGTGACCTGTGCAAAACCTCGACGCAATCGTTTAGTCCTTGCGCGCCTAAAAAGGGGCCACAAATGCAAAAAAGTATGAGCTTCATCAAATTGGTATTTACTGTGAAGCATTTCTATTTATGGGACATTAAACACAAGGGCTGAAAGCAAACCAGTGTGACTAAAAACAAAAATATGTTTAGGTGCACAACATTGTTCAGCCTCCCAGGTGACTTTCAGGATTCCTGTCTCGCCCACTTACCTCTTGGGTGAGCCTGCGAGTGAAGAAGGGGTTAAGGTACTTAGCATCAAGCCACATAAAGCCCTTCAGATCTTGTCTCTGGTAGATATGAGCCTCGTACTCCTCCTCCGTCAGCTCTGATAGGTGCTCCGACTCTATGGTATTACCCTGGTGAGAGGGGAGGAGCAGAGAGAAGTCAGGAGCGGAGTGGATAGAAAGAAATGAGAAGGGTTCAACAAATGAGGCAGCTGTGACAGAGATGGAGGAGAGGACGGTGAGTGCAGAGGAAAGTCAAAATGACAGGAGAGTGGTGAGGGTGATGGAGTCTAGATCACACAGAGGAGGACATAGATGAGGAAGTGAAGAGAGGGAATACATCAAAGAGGTCAACAGAGCAGTAAGGAAAAATGGAGGGCTGATAGGTGTAGTTGGAAGACATCAAATACTGCACACAAAAGTCATGCAAACACACCACCAACTACCAAAGTGGTGGGATGTACTTCAAAAGAATGATCCATTATTTAGAGTTAGAGCTAACAGAGTCAACTGAAATATTAAACACAATGGCTTGTATTCTGGTGTGTCTGGGAAATTGTATTAATAATGGTTTATTTGTTCTCGTCCGAGTTTTGCTTTTTCTAAGTGAGCGTCTCTGTGATGAGAGAGGGTCGCTCCCTGCTGATTCAGTCTCCTTGACACAAAGCACAATCAAGCCTTTGATGTTTCTCCCTCTGAAGAGAACAGTAATGGTCTGATGGCAGATGAAAGGGTGGCACAGCCAGTATCAATCAGTCAACAATCTGAGTGTGTCTGTGCACAGACTGAAGTGCTTCATCCATTACCATTTTCTCTGTCTTGCTGAGATTGACATCTTTCTTGTTCTTACGCCGTGACTGGCTCTCCTCAATGTCCATGATGCGAATAAGCGGCATGGTCCCGCCCCCCAGGAGGAGGATGGTAAAGAGAACGATGATGATGGTGGTGGTGCCAATCAGCTGCCGTTTCTCTATGGGCTCCAGGCCAAGGTGAAGGCTCAGTGCGTAGGGGATGGCACCTCGCAAACCTATACAAGAAAGAAAAAGACGAAGGAACGAGACAGTGAAACATGAGAACGCATCTTCAGAAACATTGTCAATATTGTTATTATAATATATACAGTGGAAACCGCTTATAGTGATCACGTCTGTCCTGGTCAAATTGTTCACTAAAAGCGGATGATTATTATAACTGTTTCTTTTTTCTATCTCTTTATTGGTCATGGAAATTACTATGTAATTGTCATCTGTATATCTATTACATGAATATTAAATACTGAAATGGACAGATTTGCCATTTACTGAATTTTACTGAATGTTTTAAAATACAGTGCAGCTGTTTCATAACGTGGGCATTATGTGATCAGGCATTATCAATTCCCATGATGAGGGCGGCTCCAAACACAGGTGCTTTCCTCGTAAGCATTCTTTTTTTCTTCCCTTCACTAGTGGCCATAAGCTTCAAGGAGACTATGCTTTTCATCAAGTGAAAATTACTTGTCTTTCCCATCATAATTTTAACGTACACGCAGCACCAGGCTCAAGCAGCCAAGTTGGCTGAGAAATTAAAGCAATGTGGAAGTGCCAAAAACTGCAGTTCATCAAATGGCCACTTGAGGCTGCCACTAAAACAGAGTAAATCCCCACAGACACCTATGTTGAAATGCCCAAATTTACAGCATGAATGACCGCTATAGAAACAGTTTTGGTCTCTATAGTTAACAACATTATTGACAACTGTGCAGGGGGTGATTTTTTTTTCATAACTCACCTGTTTACATATAGTTAAAGCCCAAAGTTACGCATATTGAAAGGTGGATACGTTTGATTTACAGGCTGTGAGGCATTGCTACTGGTTGCTGCAGTGTTTGAGCCAGATCCACCCCTCGCTCCTCCAGAGCGCCAACCTCTCATCCAAATATGGTCAATTCTGGCTCCAAAAGAAAAAAAGTGGCCGAAATCCCGAACTCAACGCTTCGTAACTGCAGTCCATAAACCGATGGTCAACATTGTGATAGAAAGCTACATCGATTATTTATACAGTCTATGAGACAGGCTACTATGAGGCAAAGTATCATGAGAATAAAGTGATAAAATAAAATAAAATTACCATAGATTGAAATTAGTTTTCCATATGTAAAAAGACCACATTCTAGTAGTATTTAGACTTCTTCATTACTTTGAGAAAATTAGTTCTACAGCATTTATAGAGGAAAGATTCTCGCCCAAGCTTTCTGCTCCATATAAGCGGTTGATCACTGCAACTGTGATCAATATATGTGGTTACCACTGTACTTAATTATAATAATATAATAAAATGGGTACTAAAATCTGGAAAATAATACACTAGACATATTTAAATTGTGTCATTTGGGTTTTTATAAATGTAGGTCTACAAAAAGTGACTATTCTTATTGTTATTGTATATTAATCTGCTGATTGTTTTGTCTGGTAATCTATTAATTGATTAATTGTTTGTTTATAAGATGTGAAGAATGCCCATTTTTCAGTGTCCATCAGTTTACTATCATATGACACAGAAAAACAGCACGTTTTCACATTTGAGAAGCTGGAATCAAAGAATGTTGCTTGCATGTTTGCGGATGAATTTCCCGCTGATTGACCTATCAATTAATCAACTACGAGTATCAGCTCCAGCTGTTACAACTCTCATCTGCACCGAGATATGCACACACTATTAGGGCAATAGTCAAGGCTTAGACGCTAACAAAGAGCTGACTGCCTGTCATTCTGTGACGCATCACACAAAAGGTTTACCGTATCAACTCACCACTGAACCACATGATGAACATCATTTTGGGTGTGATCTTGTGGTCTCTGAAAAAGTTCAGCAGGAATGACAGCGGGAAGATGTTCACTGCTCGCCCAAGAAGAACCAGGACCTTTCGGGGGGGGGACAACAGCTGTCACACGATGATCACAGGAATGAACAGAAAAACCAGGACTTAAATCGACATCAACACTCAGATAACACTTAAAAAAATGCAGAGCACTTACTATGCACCAGATGACGAATGATATTTCAAAGTTATGAGGGAAGCTGAAGATGGAGAGGCCAAGGAAGGCAAACACACATGTCTCTGGAGAGAAAAATAACAGTATTGAGAACTTATTGTAGAATGAAAATAAAGGGAGGAATTTGGGGGTAAAGACGGAATTCACTGACCACACATGAAGGCCACTGTGCGCAGTGTCTGCTGCATGAGGATCTGGGTGACGGGAGACAGGTTGTGATGGGTATAGTGAGACATCACGATTCCAGCAAATAGGATGGACATTATTCCTATAGGTGGAGAGAAAGCGAAGCATTAAAAGAGCTACAAAGTCAAACACAAAAAAAATCTTCTTTGGCATGTATGCATGTACCCACCAGACAGTTTGATGCCTTCTGCCAGGCCATAGGGAAGGTACGCAAAGATTATCATCATACCAAACTCCAGTGAAGGAGTCTTCCTCAGATCAAAGTGTTTTAGAAACTAATGAATGAGTTAAGGAATTTAAATCAGATGAAAACACACACACAGGAGTTCAAAGTTCTCTCACACACATGCTCACTCACTAAATGAGTCTGGATACAAGAGCTGAGATGAGTCCAGTGAGCGTTCCCAGGGCCGCAGAGCCAAAAAACATTTTCAGGAAGTAACCCAATGCTTGCAAAAAAGTCTCCCAGCCTGTGACCATGGAGTTGTCTGAACGGGAAAAGAACCCCTCCGCTGTGCTGAAAGACAAAACAGACGAATGACACCACAACACTACAGCTGCACATCCTGTGTTGTAGTAATACCTTTATCTGACCCTAGAGGGCAGAAAAACTCCACCATTAAAACCTACTAACTCACAGCATGTGAGAGATATGGTGTGTGAGATTAGAGTGTGTGCAGAGCTTGTAATCCTGCCTTCATCACAATCCTGTTTGTGAAACAGAGGTCAGATACACGTTATCACCCCGGTGACTTCACAGGAATAGTGACATGAAGGAATTTACTGCATATATTTGGATACTATTTCAGCAAATTATTTTTTAATGTCAAATGTACATTTTATTAGGTCTCATCGAATTGAAACACACTAATGCTAATTAAAAAAAGTATTCCTGATATCTTATAGTTATTGATGTAGCGGGAACCCAGATAATCCATTTAATTGTACAATTTAAATCCTTTTTATAATAACAGTTATTCAGACAAACAGCCAGGCAACACAACATAATTAATAATCTTATGTTAATGCTTATTAACAAGCTCCAGGGCAAAAGCCGTAGCTGTGTGGCTGTTAAAAAACGACTGGGCCAAACAGTAAAGTAGCTCTCTAAGAAAGCCAGTCCGTGAGGTGCTAACAACAAGCAAACTGCCAGGGCTGTTCAGCCTATCCATTATTCATGCATTCATTTACTCTACGGGGGCACGCGGACACTTGAGATCACTTTGCACATTTAGCTGGTTGTTAGTAGGAGAGATAAGGTGGCAATAAAGTGAGTACAGAGACAGCAGATAGGAGGACGATGGGGATGCAGACAGACAAGGGAATCCTGCCAACTGGCTGTTTCCGTCAAACTTGTCTGTCAAGATTTCGTCTGTGTGTTGGTGTGTGTGAGGCCACGGTTTGTTTATACAGGACAAACAATTCTTAAAGAGTGATACTTTAAATAGACTGTCCCCTGTGACTACAGAGAGTTTCGTTGTACTTGTACTGGAGCGTACGGTCAGCAAAGGGACTTTTTCCCCCCCTCATTACTAGAAGTTTCTGGTGCGACAGGAAAACATTCCAACGACAATCCTTATCTGTGAATATCATGAGTGTTATTGTCATTTGTCAGTTCACCATTTTAAGCCCAAGCTTTTGGAAGTTACAGTTAGCAGATTCTGCTAAGCATACACCCACATCCTCTGCATTTGAAACCAGAGCTTTACCAAAAAGTGCACGCCTAGAGCGATAAATAGGTCACTGGTTCCCTTTTACTTCTCACTTCCTGTCATAGAGAAATCAGCAGAGAGCAGGTGGGGCTCAAAGGCTGGAAGATGCCTGAATACACTCCAGCTGACATTTACAATTCTGTGGAACTGGTGTGTCTGTTCAAGTGAGGGTGAGCGTGAGATTTATTGTACTGGAGCAGATAACAAGATAATGAGGTAATGTTAAGTCCTCACAGCAGCAAGTGACAAAATACAGATAAAAAAATATTCCAAAAATACTGAAAACCATGACACTCAATTTTAAGAACTACAAAGTCTAATTCTCTAAAAGTATAATAGTGTTTGACAGATGTCTTCTTCCACTAAATGACATATAACCGTGATATCACAGTCAGAGTGTGTGTGTAGCAGTGATACTGTATGCCCGGGCCTTTCGCAACATCTGCAGCTACATCGTCCTTTAGGCTTGCTGGTGACCGTGTTTTCCCCCTGAAAAATAAACAACCCCTGAGGGAGTGGACAGAAACTCTTACTTCGTGAGGACAATGGAGACAGCGTCGTTCAGGATGCTCTCTCCAAACACCAGCATGTTGAGGACCGGATCCACGTTGAGGGCGTTAAAGATGGCAATGGTAGCTACGGGGTCCACGGCTGAGATCAGTGAGCCAAAGGCAAAGCTACGACAAGGGAGTGAAAACGATGTTTACAGTCATCATAAGTCACTTTAACAGGCATTAGTATACAGTACTTAAAAAAGAACTAAGAAACAAACACATGTGGGCAGCAACGTCAGAGGGAGGCAGACAGGAAATGCATCACAAACAAGGAAGTACATGTGTTTGTGAAGGCGGCACAATCCTGCACAATGTTATTTTAATAATTGACATGATTTTTAGAGAATATATAAATTCTGTCCCAGAATATTCGGGATTTGTATGCTGCACATCTCACCTAAACATGATTAAAATTACACAGTACATTCAATAGTTACAGCAGTCTGTGTCAAATTGGTCACAACTACAAGTATTTGGTGAACAACTGACCTATGGCTAAGCCCCGCCCTCAAACGCGATGAGCCAATCACAGTGCGTATAGCCATTCCCATACACTCGGACATTCTCTGCCTGGACGTCCATTGAAATGCATTACAAGAAGTCAGTTTTGTTCGGTTATATGAGCTTTTTCTGAGATTTGAAGTTTAAAAATGGTCAAACGGTGTGCGTGGGGTACATGCAACTCCAACACAAGGTATCCTGAGAGGCTGGGCGACGAGGTGTATTTTTTACACTTTAAACCACATCTCAACCGAGAAAAGTGTCTCCTTTGGGTAAAGTTGTGTGGTAACGTTAGACCACAACATCAGCTCAACGTGAATAAGACTAACAATGATGTCTACATCTGTACTGTTTTAAGGTAAGTCAACATTGTGTTTGAGGCAACATATTGTCACTTTGCTGGAAAGAAATATAAAGTTATCTTTAACATCTCTAGCTAACGTTGGCTAAAGTTAGCCTAACGTTAGCTCCTAGCTGCGTTGTTCATCATGTCACCTTGTTTGCTGGGAGTTCATTAGCCTATTTTGTTCTAGTTTTGTGCTTTGGTGATGGTACAGCATTGTTAGCTGTTGTCCAAAGGGCTCTAGTTAAGCTAACGTTAACTTCTGGAGCTTAGCTTCATTAATTTATCTGTAATCGCAGAGATAACAAAGGTTGGCAAATGTTACGCTGAATGATTCAATGTAAATACTGTAGCACCAAACTAACAGAGAGATGGTAAAAAGGCCGTTATCCTTTTCTCATATTCTGAGCCAAACACCTTAACTTCAGTGGCACTTTGATGCACTGAAATTTCCAGTTTCCAAAGGCTTGTTCACAAATAATTCACAGGATGATATATACATTTTATTCCTGAATACATGGTTAAAATTGATTTCTCTATTACTGTTGTGTGTAGACTATTTTCTGACTTAAAGAGTGTATTGTAATGTATTTTCTTGAGATGTCTTTATATGGATAAAGTAGGCAGACAAAGATCACATAGCTGCATCTATTCTGGGACTTTCCCGTCTAAAATCTAATCACTTCTTTCTTGGCTCATGTCCTGAATTCCCCCCAAATGTCATTAAGATCTGCTGAGCACTTTCCGAGATATCCTGCTAACAAACACAAACACAAAGACTAATGGGACTCGAAGCATATCCTCCTCCATGAAGGAAATGAACAGGCAAAAGCCCCCCTTCAACTCAAGACACATTCACACGCTGTTTGCACCAATATGGATACACACATGTGCACTGAGACAACCCCGACCTTCTCTTAAACACACATGGGTGTGGAGACGTATGCTCCACACACAAGTGCTGCGTTCTTAAGGTAGAATGAAGGTGTCAGTGGGTGACGCTGTTATATAATATATATGGTGTGGTAAGCACAAAAGTTAAATCCCCAGAGGTTTCTCTTGTTATCCTGAAACAGGAATGCAAGACACATAATGCTACTAAGAGTGAATCACTAACACTTACCTATCAGTCATGGACATCTTATAGATCACATCAGCCTGAGAAAAAAAACACAGACACACCCACTGTTAAAAGCTGTGACAAGAAGATCTGGTTTTGCAAACATGACAAGAGCAAGATATATATTGTGAACAACGACGAGATAATAATGGCTACTTGCATCTACACTGTTATCATAACCTTTCACAGGAAAGTCAGGAGTGACAGTGGAGATATAACATGAAGACATGTAAACAACTTCACACTCTTTCTCTGGCACCGGCAGACTTGTTGACAGATCCTCACCTGCCCAAGGAAATAGATCCCACCTCCGACTATGAAGGCAGAGAATGCGGTGCCGATCACAGCGAACAGAGTAATGGAGCCGATGTTCTGGAAGAAGTTTCCCTGCACATACATGGACACACGGCTTAAGTATTCATGGGGTTCAGTTGCATGACATTTTGAAGGTACATGGTGTTACATAACGTATAGCAAGTGTTAAAATGAAAAGTAGGGCATGGTACAGGTACGGAGGAAACAGGCATTGTTTCACTGTGAGCAATGGAGCAGGATGTGTCTATAAATAATCTAATCTGATAAATAATAAAACGTTATGAGCCACCTTTTGGCATTTGCCAGTCCTTTTTAAACCTCTGTTGTAATAATATATGACAATTGTGACAATACAGGAGCAACATAATGACAGAGAGCAGAGCTGCTTATGCTTTTATGCTTTCATGTCATAGCCAGCCTGAGGGGAAAGCAAAGAGCTTGCTGAGGCCCCTGTTCATTTCTGTCTTCATTTACTCTCAATTAAATTGTGCTGCATTTTCAAAGTACAATAAAATAACCAAAAGGCATATTTGTATTTTTGTTGTTTTTACTGTGGCTATGACTCTTTCTCTGCATATGTGGGTATATATATACATATATATATATGTAAATGTTGTGTTTACATGCATAAGCTGGTTTGCACTTTTAAGCACTTCACATTTGTAATGTGTCGAGTTTTATTTTACATCTTGAGCTGTGCACACACTCTGCCGTACCTTATGTAAAGAGTATCCAGACTCAAAAATGATGGGCGGCAGGAGCAAAAGGAAGAACATGTTGGGTCGGAACATTTCCTCCTCCTGTTAGAGAAGGACAGAGACACAGAAAGTTACATACACACAGCCCACGGTAAACAGACTTTGTATAGCGCCTTTATATTCTTCCGACCACTCAAAACGCTTTCACACTACAGAGCCACACATTCACACAGTGGTGGCTGAGGCTAACATACAAGATGCCACCTGCTCACCTAACATTCACACGTACTCAGTAGCAATTTGGGATTAAGTATCCTGCCCAATGATACCTTGCCGTGCGGACTGGAGGAGCCGGGGATCAAAGCTGCTGATTTGTGGATTAAATAGTAAAAAAGTTGCAGTGATCAGGTTACAGACGAGTGATTCTAAGCTTGGCATAAAGTTGCACACTGAATAGTAGTAACAAATTATAGTGGTAAAGGGAAAATGCCAACTAGCTAAAACATTCAGAAATTGTTAACAGGAAACATTTTAATTGTACAAACTAATTATTTCCAAAAGGTTTGTCATTACAATGCTAATGTTAATCAGTACCGTTATATATGAGCTAATTATGTGTGTATGACTGAGTGATAAAACATGTGCTTGTGGTCATTACGCAGTCCTCAGCAAAAATTCCAACTGCTCATCTGACTGATGAAGGCCGGTTCAGTGACCATCTGCTGACTTGATACTTAGTCATGGAAGAGGGGAAAGGGTGACGAGGGAGGCCGTGCCTGAGCTGTTAGTAACAGTCCTTCATCTGACCAAACAAATTTAGATGTTGACTTCAGGATGACAAACACACACGCACACACTCATCAGGTGCTCATTCGGGGGAATGCCTGCCTGCCAGCCAATTCATGCATTCAAACACTCATACTGACGTGCCTATGTGGCTTTTATTAAATCTCTGAGTTTTTCTTACACACATACACTCAGTATCACAGTACAGAGTATCCCAGTAACCATAGCTCTCTGATTATTTCAGCGATATAATGGAATCATTGTTGTTTCTCAGCTAAATGGGCCAGCCTCCAAGATCAGGCGTAGGCATCATGTGCCCATGCATTACGCTCTGGCTGCCAATGTGTCTGTGCATGATGCGCCATGTGTTCTTGTATAAGCCAGTGAATGTGTGTGTGTGTGTGTGTGTGTTCTGTGCATAATCCATGTTGGTAATATAAAAGTCAATATACGGTATGCATTAGTGAATGTTCATAGGGCAGATCTATTTCTGGGCCGTGATTGAAACTGCAGTTGTGTCTGTCAGAAAGATGGAAGAGGGCAAGCGCAAACCCATATTTACTCTATCCAGTCAACAATCTCTCATTGTATTATGGGAGCCAGTTTTGACAGCTGGTAGAATCTAACTTTCAACCCCAATAACCCCACAAGCAGATGGACATGACGACAAGTACTTCCTTAAAAGTATCTACTTCTGTAAAAACTGCAGAGACGTGATTTGCTAATAGTTCAGCGATGACTAACCGTTGAGAGGTGAGCCAGATAAAAGCATGATTTACTTTCTCTGACAAGTTTTACTCTACAATTACACATTATTTGACATACAGTGCCAAAATCTGAACACAAAGCATGACTGATGAAATTAACTGTTCAAAAAGGGCAGCGGTGGCAATTTATCAAACACACGATGACATGATTAGTTTCACATTCCTCTGCATTTGTAATCTATTTCTCTCTATCTAGGCAATTATTCAGGGTTATGATCAGCAAATGAGATGGGGCAATACCACAGCACATTGTTAAATTAAAGACTGTGCACCAATTTTTGGCTGTCAAGTTGGTAACTTTGGCTCTGGCGATACATTTGACAACACCAATCATCATTATTGTGGCTACAAGCCCCTTAAAATAGGTCAGGCATGGAGGATAGCCTGTACAGGATGTATGATAGAATAAAAGGCTATGCTCCTGCTTACTTTGTCTTATTATGCATTCAAATTTCAGGAAAAGTAGGCCGACAAGGACAGCTCCCAGATTACCACTTTTTCTTGACATTTATGTCCACCCTTCAGGGTAGGTGAAAGGTCAGGAATGAATATTAACACCTGAGACACAAGAAAACATACCATGCATGCACTACAATTTGACAGCCACAGCTGTGCCCCTGCGTGCGTGCATGTTTCACTGCCACATAAAAGGATGTCTAAAGGAGTGGCTGAACGGGCACACACATACTTTGCATGTGCACACCTACACAGATTTAAATAAGAAGCTCGTACTTTTCAAATTGGTTGTTGTGTCAGGCAAACAGTTCACACCCTCAAGATATTTAATTTACAATTTTAGAAAACAAACAAAAGCAGCAAATAATCACATTTGAGAAGTTAAAATGAGCATTTGTTTGGAATTTTCACTTGATAAAATGACTCATGTGTTTGGTGGGGTCAGAATTCGCTCCACTGACCTCATCCTGAAACCATGAGGACAGATGTGGCCTGAGAAGCCCTAATGAGATTTCAGAAACACTGATATTGATAGACAGTGGAGAGAGATATGTTGTAAGAGCAGGAGAGATGAAATGGATAAAACCAGAGAGCAGTGGATGGGCATACTCTAGGGAAGTGCTGAGACAGAGCTTGAACTAAATGAGAAAAGATGAATGCCAAAGATGAAGGGAGCGCAGTTAAAGGAGGGTCGAGAGATAACAGAGAAATACGAGCGGGAACGATGGAGAGACATTCGCTCAGAATACAGGCTCCCTGGAGGCTCAGCTTTGACACACAGTGACATCACCACATGGGAAAAAGGCCCCTGAAACCACAATTAAAACTGTTCTCCCTGTGTCGCTCTCTCCACGGCGTGGGAGAGATCTATTAAAAGTATGTGCTGCCCTTTGGGGCTTAAAACACACCACTGTAGCCACTGAGGAAAAATGAGGTAACGTCATACAGTACAGACGCAAAACTGAATTATTATCTGGAGAACACCGTAGATGCAAATATATTCACCTATGTATCTCTCTATGTGCTTTGTCTAGGAGACGAATTGCTGCTAGCATGTTACTTCTTACAAGCATGCTATTTCTTCTTCAATCTGTGTCAGAGCACAGGGGAGAGATGGGCAGATGAGAGTAAGGGAAAGCAGTGAACAGTACCAGAAAAGCACATGAGGGAAAAGCCTCTCCTCACATGCTGGATCATGGGGAGAGGACTGGAAATAGTAGGGGCTGGTAGCGGAAAGCAAAGAAAGCAGACTGAGGGTGAAAGGCGAGGTTAAAGCCAGTGATGACAGGATACTGATGCCTGAGGGGTTAGTACACGCTCGGTGGTTTGTGAGGCAGTCCCGGAGGCTTGCTAGATCCGCCAAGTGGGCCAGCTTTAGAAACATGTTAGTTAGAGAAGATGGCGCCAGCATTTAAGGTAGCTACAATTGTGAGGATGCTTCCAGTTCAAATCTGAAAAGTGAGCTGGGGATTGAAAACAGACAAATGCATTCCTCTGGCAGTGGTAGTAAAACACGGACCTGTTCGTAAGTGCACTGTACGCACAGTTTCAAAGGAGTTGCAGTTGGGAAAAAAAAGATGCTGACAGAACCACAGTTTGGCCACTGGCTGTATTACTCACTGAACAGGTTACATGGTGCATCCTGCTCTTAGGGGCTCTCTCAAAAACAAATAGGTCAGACATAATGGATTTGCATCATGGCCCGGGTCTTTTGAAGTCTCCAAAGGCCTACAAACCACTTAGCGTATCCATGCTCCTGCAAAGAAGCTGCTGCGCATCTCAGTGTAATTTTATTATGCTCTACTCAGACAGTTTTTATCAAGCTGTTTAGTGATAGCAGGTCATGAAGACACTGTCTACTATGCATGGACAGGTGAGCAAGTGAGCTGTAAGTTAAACACAGACACAGAGATAGCGGTCTAGAGATTCACAGGACAGGGGCAAAGGGGGTAAAAGGGGCTCCACGGGCTCTGGTTACTAGTGCCGATGACTCAGCAACACCCTGGGGCCCCCAGGCTAAAAAACAATGGGCGCCAGTGTGCAAGAAACATTGACACAACCTGTCCTCTTTTCTACCCCTCCCCCTCACTCTGCATCTCTCCATCTCTTGTTCGTTTGTTCTCTCACTCACTGGCAGAGAACAAGGAATGTTAATTAAAGGCTGTGAGAACCAAAAGGAAAAAAAAGGAGGGCTCACAGGGACACAGAGGGAGAGACAGCGAGCGGAGAATGGTGTGTGCCACTGTGGGTAGGTAACAGAGTGGAGATGGAGAGATGAGATTCGTGTCAAAAAACAGTGGCCAGGAAATGAATGACTGAGCAAAAAGAACAGCAGAGAGAGAGAGATGGAAATCTACAGCACAAGGACGACAGATGTTTATTGGGTTGGGGGTGGATAGGGAGTTCCCGGTGAATTTGCTGCGGGGTAAATTGCATCACATAGGAACTAGGAAAAACAGTGATATACTCTAGGCTTGATGCATTATGTTTTCAATAAGCCAACACTTCAGCAATGCAGATGTTTGCCCCCACCCTTTAAAACTGCACTTAATATCAAGAATGCAGAGGGTGTAACGCTTTAGTTTATGGGTCATTTGCAGCAGCCTTTTCATGCACTGCATATGTGTTTGTGTACTTTGTTTGTGGGTGAGTGGTGAGTAGAGGAATGCGGCTGTTTTGCCTTATTCTGAATGATAAAATGCATAACTGTTGTTAAATTTACGCCCAACATCCACACTACTCCAGCGTTTTGGCAGCTCTAAAACAAAGACCTTTTGATAATGCTGCTGCTGCCTTGTTTTAGTTTGAAAACCCTGGAGCTGTGTTTAAGTCTGGACAGGCGGGAACAGAGACTTTTGAAAACGATGACGCAGACAGCAATGTTGGCTTCCCGATAGGGTCTCATCATCCACGACATGTCAAGACAAAACATTATAGTCAGGCCCATAGGGCTGCCCCCTAATAGTTAGTGGACAAGAGAGGTCATTAGTTAGCAAGATTTCATTAGTTGCTTAGTCACAGAAAAAAATTAAAAAACAAGCAAATGAGAAACTCTATTAGGAGCTGCACCTTATCAAAATAAATCAAATCTATATGACTGGACCATGGGAATTTAACTTGAAAGGACAGACACAGGAAGTGCCCACGCTCAGCAGTCAGACAGGAGTCCATTAGGCCTGCACACTTATAAACAGCACCTGGAAGAACATCAACATAGGCTATACAATGCTTGTTAAGGTTTGTTAACAACCTCAGATGCAACCTGCCACAAAAAAAAAATCACAAGAGTAGCACCCAGCGTCTGACCCCACGTTTTCCAGGCAGTGAAAGACACGGCATGTGTACGGCCCCTAATTTCCAGGGCTGGTACCTGTGATTGTTCCACAGGCTAGTTAATAACATGTCGGGCAGGAAATCCAAAGTGTGGGATCATTTTGAGAAGGTGAAGGACGAACCCAAGGTGATATATAAACTCATCTTCATTGGTCGACTACAAACATGACGTATCATCTGAAACATGTCAGTAGCTACATGCCCATTAGCCACTTAGCACAATCATTACTGCTTTGCCCACAGCGTCATTAGTAGGCGGCTCGCTCAGTGTGTGCTGTGCACTTGTAGATAAAATATAGGCCTATATTAATGAAGGCTCATTAGTACGGTTTTGTATTTCTCTGTAATGTAGCACAGTGTTAACAATGTTACTGATACTTTTCTTTCTCACACCTTTAACTCAAACCATTGTGTTGCCCCGCCCAAAATATATCATTTAATAATTAAATTAATATTGTAAACATGCGGACAACTAGTCGACTAATGGCGCTAAATGGACCTACATACATTTTGTGCTGTATTTGATTTGCATTCACTCCCAATCTGTTTTCCGCCCCCTTGAACGTCTCATACTTGTCTTACTTTTGGTAACAGTTCCACATTTTTGTAGGTCCAAGCAAAGAAACCATTGGTCTAACGTTTTGACCATCTCTGTAGAATTTTCTGACTAAGCAACAAACCATAGAGTAGACAGCTTCCTCTTCCTTCCTCTTTACATGAGCAAGCGTATGCCGAGTATACGTGAATTGTCATGTGATATGCATTTTCAGACATTTAGTACAGACACAGATTAATTCTGAAACTTGCTAAACCACTCGTGTGTACGATTGTGTGTTAATTACGAGCAAGATCTGTAGCCAGTGCAGTGTGGACACAAAGAGCTGTTTAGCAGGCTGTGAACATGGAGTCAGACCATACCTTCCAGTTGGCCAGTTCCTGGAACTCAATGATCTTAATGAAGCCTCCCATTAGAATCCCTGGAGAGAGGGAGGAGACGTGAAAAACAATACCACTGTTTAAATATTTTACGACTTCATATGAAAATTTCAACACAACCAGAACACAGATGGAGTGAAAACCTGAGGCAAAGTGCTATTTTTACGGTTTAAACAAATGGATGCCTGGCAAATGTCCACCGTGGTTCAGGGATAAATTAGATACGAAGAGTGTGAAAGGGCTATTGTCTTAGTTTTGTCTTTGAGAGAGACCCCTTGGGCCTTCAGCTCTCGTTACACAGCCCAGCAGAACGATAATTATAAGGTCGAGGAAAACGCAAAGATGTGAAAAGGACAGAGAAAGAGAGATAAGATGGAAAAAGAAATTAAGTAGTAGCATCAAAGCACTGTGTAAGACCCAGATATACAGGCAGATGGAAGTGAATAGGGGAAAACACACAATGAGTAAGTGAGAGAGAGGAAGTGATGAGGAAGGAAGAGCAGTCCTTCCTGATCTGTAAGCATTGTGTTATCTCTCTTCAGCAGAGCCCCCTGCTCCAAACACTGAGACGAGCTGCATCTCGTGCAGCATGCAGGTCGGGCAAGAGGAAAAGTCCCTCGGGGTTAAGACAGATGTGTGTCACTGAGTTTGAGCGAGTGTAACAGCCCAAACACACAAAGAGAAGACAATGGAAGCCATTAGAGGAAGGAGAATTAACCTGAAGTGACCTCAAACAAAAAGCTAAATAAATCATTTTACAACAGGGTAAGCCTTTGCTCATAAATGAAAAAGATTTTAGTACTGTAGCCTCATGGAGGTCTAGATGTTTCATGCAATGCTGGACAAACACAAATTGGCAATAGTGTTGAGATATGAGTAAGAGAGAAAACAAGCAGAAGAGCGGCTGGTGTGAAAGACATAAATCATGATAACAGGCATCAACTTCAGTATTTATACCAGCTCTAAAAAAAAGCAGAAGCAGAGTATCCCGTGAAACCTCCAGTCACTCTCAATATTAGTTTGCTGCTGTACTCAAACTGTCCACGCCTTTTAAAAAAAAACAGGATTTCCTACAGAGCTCTTCAACACAAAAACATTGTACATTCTCAGACCCAGCCTGTGCAGAGCAACACGTTACACAAGAGGTACTCACCAAGAGACACGACAGCCACGCTCTCTGGAAGGAAATGCAGTTTGAACTTGATAAGCAGGTGCACCAATATGATGCAGATACCTGGGGAGAGCAGAGAAGACTGAATGAATATTTAGGACAAATACATCCATGACCCAAACATCATGTCGCACAGACTCAGATCAGCCCCAAAATAGCCCTCCACATCATATAGTGTTAGGATCTTTGCTCTGGCTGCTTTCCTTCACACAAACTACTGTAGACAGGGATAGAGATGTCTATGAAAAATCTTAAAGATCTCACTTTATTTCCTCTCACTTAATAGTCTAAATGGATACTTGAATTCCCCTCATACTAGTCTATGAAAATCTTTAATGCAGATGAGTTCAAATACTCTTACTTAGCATAAATAACTACAAAGCTTGACATTTAAAATTATAGTTCTGAGACTGCACAATAAAGATAATTGCCCCCAATTAAAACATAAAATTAGGTTGTGACAGTACGATAGGCAACCGTGTATATCAGTGTGATAATCAGTGAATATTAGCATAATTATGATGACAAACCCCGAGGCCACAATGAAGGAAAAGTAAACGGCGTTTCATACATACAGCAGAAATGCAGGGCAGCAAATTAGATAGTCACAAGACACAGTGTAAATGAAGCCAGAAGAGGTCGGTTCATCAAAGCTGTTTTGTCACGAGGGAGATGTTATATTGAAGCTTAATTAAAGCACATAAGGTACATACTGTTAATATGGTTTCCCAGAAGTGCTATACAGGACTAATGTGTGGCTTCTATATTATACTCTGTGGTGGCCTCTCATTTATTGATCTTTACCATCTCAGTCAAACTACTGATGAGATAATTCACTTTAGAAGACAGATGACTGTGATTTTCTACATGTTGTGCCTCTCGCTATCAATCAAATGTTCGTTATGCTGAAACATCTGGTTCAAGAGTCTATTAAGTAAATGAATCTAACTGGTAACCTTATGCATGATTTATGCCACTATCTTGGTACGTACCCTTTCAGTGGTAAGCATGTGACTTGACCTACAGTGAACTAAAGTGCATAATGGACAATTTGTGCCTAAAGAAGCCCTTCATGACTGGACACATTCTTTACTAATGTGTTACCACATCCACTTCCTTCATCCTGAATCATCACCCACATGTCTGATTTCATGAACCACTGCAGTGGCTGTACATGTATCCTATGAGGTCTAAGTTACGTATGTTGCGTGACCCACAATGACCACATCACTGCACCGAACAGGACCGCAAGGCCTTGAAAAGAGTGGTTCGTTCAGCTGAACATATTATAGGTACTGCTCTACCCATCCTTATGTATGTTTACAATTAAAGATTCCAACCACCCTTATGATGGCCCTTTCTTCCTGTTGAGGTTGGGAAGAAGATACCCGTTACAACAAGCCCGCACTGAGAGGCTCAGGAAGAGCTTTAACCCTCAGGCCACAAGAATCCTAAATGAAGACCCCACCTACACCCCCCCCCTCGCTCCATCCCCCAACCTGATGGAACTGACAGATTGCATTTCAATGAAATTGTATTCTCATGATTTCATGTGAAAAATGAATGTATTTACTGACTGACTGATTTCCTTTTTCCTTCCTATCTTATTTTTGCAATGCTTGCGTTTATCGTTTATTTCATTTTCTCTGAATATGTTTATGTTATGCACCAATACTCCTAAACAAATTATCAGCATGTGAAAATCTACTTTGTACTTAACAGGACACTAGATTCCTCTTCAGATCACACCACAAAATGAGACAGAAAAGACTTGAGTTAGACAGATACTCAGTGAAGCAGCGACAGATTGACTACCAACCAATAACCAGCAGGCTGAAGAATATTGTCAACCCGCTGGACTGCTCTTCTTCTTGGGCTTTGACTCCTGTCTGCACAGGCAGAATGGGCTTGGCGGTTGGGGGTGCCGGCGTCGTTGGCTTGACAGCAGGCGTTGTAGAGTGGAGGGTCTCGTTGCTGTAGCTATCAGTGTCATTGGACTTGCTGCAAGGAGACGGGAGAAAAAGCACATTAGTGTGATGCACTCAACAGATAGATAGGTAGATAGATAGAGTGTAATACTTAGAGAGCAGAGATACCTGATTGGAATCAGAATCCCTTAGTTTAACATCTAACCTCTATAAATACTTTTTTATATTAAGGTGAAATTAGTGTAAACTATAACTTCCTTTTGAACCTCCCTTACTTTAATCTCAAGGGTTATAACCATGGATGTAGATTTCAGGGGGGTCATAGGAGACACAATCCCATCAGTATTTGGAGCAATATCATTTTCCCCCCAAAATAAAAACCTGATAGTAGCAGAAGACTATTATTTTGACAAATTTAAGGGCATTTACACCATAAATTGATGCAAAAAAGGCACAGATTGGTGCATTTAATTCACCAGAATGCAGGATAGTAAGTGTTTTCTGGCAGAGGACCTCCAAAGCCCCCATTTCATGTGTCCTCCCCAACGTTAAACAAAACCTACGCCCTTGGTTATAACTCCTAACTAAACAGGAGTGACTCAAATGAAGGAGCCTTGATTTAGAGGTGACTAAATAAAAGGCAAATTTTTTCCTCTGTCATGCCAAGGTTGTACCCTAGACAGTATTTTTTGTACCACTCTTAGTACTGCTGTATGTTAATTTAACAACGTGTCTTTTAGTGGTCTGTTAGCAAGGTTGCAGCACATTTAGAAACCTGTTAAGTAACATAACGAACATTGTGAAGCTATTGCTAGCTAGCTAACGTTATCTAGCTACATTGGGCTAACACATCACTACTACTACTACTACTACTACTACAACTGAAATGTGTTGCCTCGTACCTGACAGACTGTCCATCCTTCTGTGGGTCGACTGAATCGTGTCCATCTTCTCTGTCATGTTTTATTGATGCTTGCTGGTTTTCAACCGGAGTACCCTTATGGTTCACACCACCTCCCCCGTCGTCATCTCTCTCACGCAGGTCCAACGGCTGTTTGGTCTCGGCTCGCTGCGGTACGCACGTACTTACGAATAACAGCAAAAAGAGCAGCGACAAAACATTACGGTAAACGCCTCCCATCCTCAAACCTGAGCGCTTGAACACAAAAGCAACGTTTTTTTAACAAAAGACACTGGAAGTTCCATGTCGACAGCTACATGTTATCCTGTTGACATCACGACTCCACTTCCGGGTAGGGTTTTTTCTCTTGTTGGGAGTTGTAGTCTTTGCCTTGAATCGACGACATGTCAGAAAAGGATAGAAACACACGGACGCAGTTTGGCGCAACTCTTGTCAAACAAACATATCTATGCCTTTTTGTCGCAGCGGATACATTCTACTGTCAATCGTATGAACAAAGAGTCAATGGTTCACAGTGATTTTATGTACTCAATTTCCCATAATGCATTGTAGTGTGGCGTCAGTCGTCCACCAGCTGTTTCATGGATACTGGAGTTTTACTGTTGGCTGCACTACCTGCAAATTACCTGCAGATGTAGGAAAAACTAAAAGCACCTGCCACCATGTAATGACTCATATTAGATAGGTGAAAAATGCAATGCATATGTATTTGAAATAAATAAGACATATTGATGGGAGAGTTTAAAAACGTGTAGCCTTTATTCTGCATCTTTAGTGTTATAAAGACATGCATTAATGATAGGTTTATACTATGAAAACAGAATCATACTCTTATATTTGTTGGCCAGATAACAGCTTTCACATTTTAAGTCCTCAGCTTAGCTTCAACATTATACAACCTATACGACATTACTATTGGATTTATAGCATATACTTGATGCAGGCACATACAACAGTCCTACTATAAATACTGTATATGCTATAAATCCAATAAAAATGAAGGTTAGAGTTAATTTCTTTTACTGAAACTGTTTTAGAGATGTTGATTTAGCTTTACAGTTATTTTGGAGGCTGTAGTTGAATTGGGGAAGATAAAATATTTGAAACACCCCTCAGTATGACACAATAGAACCACACACATACATACATAGGTGTAGACTTCAGGGGGGACGCAGGAGACATGTCAGACTTTTGACTTTTATTTGAACAAAATTAAAGGCATTAAGACCATAATTATGATGCAGAAAAGGCACAAATTGGTGAACAAGAATCACCAGAATGCAGGAAATTAAGTGTTCAGTGCTCCAAATTGTCTGCCTGAGGATGCCCAAACTCTCTGTTTCATATGTGTGTCCCCCAGTGTTCAAATAAAAACCCACGCCCTTGCATACAAGAATAAAATAGTTTCAATAAAACTGTACCTTATAACCTTAATGCTGATTTCATGATCGTATTTGGTAGTAACAGGGTTACATAATTAAACTACAGAATGCAATTTCTGAAGAAACTGCGGGTGTGAATGCTGCATGCTGAATAGCTGACGCTATACTGCAATGCTCACTTTAAATGTTGAATAATACCATTAATGTATGAATAATGTGGAATATTTTAAGGTTGTTTGAAAAGCTGACTCGACACTGCAATGCAGGCTTAAGTGTGTAAGAGGACGGTGAAGTAGTAGGAATAGTTGTAAAAGTGTGAATAGGTTTAATTAGTATGAATGTAGTTGAAATTTGAATGATACTCATAATGTGGATGTGGGAGTACATATCTCATCTGGCCTGGGAACACCTTGGGGACCCCCAGGAGGAGCTGGTAAGCATTGCTGGGGAGAGGGACGCCTGGGGTGCTTTGTTTGGCCTGCTGACCCCGGGACCTGGCCCAGGATAAGTGGATGAAAATGGATGGATGTGGATTATTTCAAGGTTCTTGAAAAGCTGGCGCTACACTGCAATGCTGGCTCTAAACATTGAATAATTACATTAATGTATAAAGAATGTGGAATATTTCAAGTCTGATTTTTTTTAAAATGCTTACGCTACACTGCAGTGCTTCAATGTTACATAATTAAATTACATTAAATAAATGTAATTGTAATCTGTTGTTGTTGTGGGTGCAGTTTATTGAATTTTGTCCATTTTTATGAGATGTTATAATGTAGTTATTATATCATATTTTTGTGCAGAGATGATTGTTTTTTAAAATTTGTTTGTGGTAGGCCTATGCCATGGACCTTTCTCTGTGTCCTTTATAAAGTCATTATCATAATTATTAATATTGTTACAGTTACTTATGAAAATGTTGGCGATTAACAAAGGGGTTA